AAAAAATTTTTTTTTGTGAATGGGTAAAATAAATATGACTCATGTCAACTGACTAAAATTAAACAGTCAAGTCATTACGTGGAAAAAACTTGGCATTTTTTTTTTTATTCAAGTCGTGTTGACTTAAACCCTGGAATTAATATTTAAGTGCCATGTCAGGTAAGAATTAGAGAAAATGAATAGTACTATTTGAAAACAACGAAATGAAATTCCACTTTCCCAATATAAAAAATTTTTTTTTTTGTCATTGATAGAGTCTTGTGTGACAAAATTTTTATAACCATCCATTGTGTGCATTCATTGTGTTGCTTGCATAAATTAATAAAATCCCCTGTTGATTTAAACAATGATTGTTTATTAGATAAATATTATGTAAGAACATTTTCATTGTTTTATTAAAATTATATTAATGTAACAATAACAGTGTGATTATTGCTAATAAATAATCTCATCATTATATAACATATGACTAACATGCTACATACAGTGATAACGCTTTTATTTGTTATTGTTTAAACTGCATGGTCTAGATTTATTTTTTATTTTTCATTTATTATTTATCGTTGCGTGCGTACGGGGTATTCAGATAGAATACATTGAAGAAGTAATTAAAAGCAATAATGCTACATACAGTGATAACGCTTTTATTTGTTATTGTTTAAACTGCATGGTCTAGATTTATTTTTTATTTTTCATTTATTATTTATCGTTGCGTGCGTACGGGGTATTCAGAGTCAACATGATGATGTATATGTATCAATATTATTGGTATTTAGTAAATTTCGGGGACCTCAAAACATAAAACCCATTTTCACTCGATATAGTAAATTGTACCACATATTCTCTATTGGGTATATATAATAACGTGTTTGTTACACGACGTATATCATTAATTTTGCGATATTTTTCCCACGCTATTATTAATTAAATTAACATTGTAAAATAATTTATTTGTCAGATTGTAAAACTCCCTCCATCATTCGTTGTAATATCCCAAAAAAATTCGTATAATTTTTCAACAATATGCACGATGAGTCATGATCAGAAAGCATAACTCCAATTAACATTCTTCGCATAGCTTTTAACCTTGAATGATCATTAATCATGCATACGTCTCTTTAAATTTTGCAAAGAAAATTTTCTAAATCGGGGAATGTTTGAGTTTAGTGTGATATTGATTATGAAAATTGCTTCAAAGAATCTTTAATTTCTTACTTAGTAAAGTAAATAATTTCGTATCACACGCTTGCACGAATTGAGGTATGTATGGAGACTTTATTAGTTACAATGATAAAAAAAAAACAATAATTCTTATTTTGTATAAATAATAATATTAACGACATAATTAGTTCCACTAATAACAATAACGACAGGAAAAACTATTTATAATTTTCGTGTGCCAAAAAATATGAAGAAAATAGATTGATGGAAATTCCAACATTTATCGTAAAGTTTATGCAGAAACTGTGGTGGCATCAAATAGAAAATAACATACGGAGAAGATAATGAATACATCCATTATAAATAATATGAAACATATGGAACTTGTATAAAAAGGTACTAACTAGTACATGCAGGATACATATGGAATGTTAAATACATACCTATTACGGTATTATTAGTATATGATGGCACGGAATAGATACGGAAATGTTACTTTTACGGTATGGGAAGGTGCGGCATACATACAGTACTAAAAATTAAAGTACTTTGTATATAAAAAAATAACATGTAAATAAGTGTGGCGCAAACGAATAGTAACACTAATTAATATTAATATATGATTTTTAGTTAATATGTAACGTAAACAACCACCTATTACTATAATATTTCTAAATATTGATACAAAATTTATAAATAATTTTACTTTAGATTACCTTCATTATTACAAAGTCATTGTTTACATTCGTCATATGATGATGATAATATAGTGTATTACTGTATTATATTGTTGGTATTACAAAAATCATATATTTGTTTCAAAATTATTTATTTCCATCGATAACATGAACAAAGTCATGATTGTACATTATGAATGTAGTTTCATGATATTTTTGAGTGTAGTATTGGTGGAGTTGGTTTTTTCTTTTTTTCATTAAATAATCCCTTTTATTTGGATACAAAGCTAATTGGTATCAACACTGGTATTAATAGTTTTGTTGACATTGTTTTAAATTCTTTCACCCTCCAATCATTGTTTCCAGTATATATTTTAGAGTACTTTCAATAAACAAGGCTATAATGAGAAAGTTATTATCACGTATAACGTTGCAAATTCTCAAGAGAAATTTCTTAAACAACATCAGGATCGGGTAACATCTAATATAACGATACCTTGTCAATAAGATCTATTATACAGTTATATAGTACGTATGGTATACCTATATCAACTTTTATTTCATCTTAATATAATATTAACATTTGTATTTAAAAAATATATATTGATTTTTCTTTATCAATTATAAAAGTACCTCTATGGACAACTCTATTTTTTTAAAGTCGTTGAAGTCTTTGAGGTTTAGATGATACTGTGTAATTTGTTATCTTGAGAGTTTTCATAACATTGGCAAAATAGTCTATCATAAAGGCCGATGCTTTCATTGTTTCATCAATTAAGGTTTAGGTTTAGTGATCTAATTACTGTATAATAATTATAGTCATAATTCTTTTCTTTCTAAACAAGGAAATTACATGCATAAACTTTAGGTCCAAGTTCATAATGATTTTTGCAAATCAAATAAATAAATATGTGAAATTGTTCCTATTGTCGATCTTTGGAGTGGCGATTTTTAGAAAATTTTTTTTTATTAAACCTAATTACATTTTATTTCACAGAAATTAAAATCTGATTAGATTAAGATTTAATTTTTGATTTTATATTTGTAATTATTTTGGATATTTCAGATATTTCAGATACTTGTGTATTTATTTTAATTACAAATATTTTAAATTTGTAATTTTAGATTTACAAATATTCAAAAAGGAGATAGGATTACAGTTAAGAACTCTATTCTGCAAAAAACATGTTATTTTTTTTTTTTTACAAAAATTTAGAAATGTATAGGCTCAATGATCATGCGAGATAAAAAAAACAAATATTCATCACTGATCATTAGAATATTTTCACGATATAAAGAAGTATCACGAGATACTTGTGACTCGTGAGATTCCAATAAAACAGATTCGGGAACTCTTCTATGAGAGTGATACTTTTTAACTGCAAAAATAGCAGCTTTACCAAAAAGCCACATCCTATAGGCATTCATAACCTATAACATCTTCTTGAAAATTTACGAATTTTATAGAGTGAAATAGAATTAACAGCCAATGGCACAGTTTGTTGTAAACCTTCCCAAGATTCTAATTCTGTAGTTAAAGATAAATCTCTCCAGTCGTGTCAATCTGAGATTCACTTTCAAACACCTCCTTATCAATATATTCATCTGCAATAGGTTTAATAGTTTCTTTTGTTTTTTTAGTTTCACGAGCTTTTTGTAAATGCTGATTTCTTTATTCTGTTTAAGCATTTTAACAAAATAAAAAATCGCGTTCCATAAAAGGAATGATTTTCGTGGAAAAATTTTACCAGCTGGCGCAGCATTTGATGTGTTTAGAGGCACCATAGTAAAATATCAAATATTTTGATCGACAAATTTATGAGGGCAGATCAGTTAATCAATAAAAAAAATAAGCTTTGATCGGCAGATTTTGTGAATCAAATTTCTAATTAAATGGTCATTTATCAACTTTAACAGTTAAATTAAAATCAAGTTATTACGTAATATTAATCACAATGACATGCATACGTCGAATCTTTTTCGAGTAATGATCTCTAAATATTTCAGAACTATATTTTACGTATTAAGAATGACAGAATATTAACTCTTTTATTAGAAGAATAATAATAGTTGGTACTATATATTACGGCGATACTTGCATTATACTTTTAGAAAGAGCTATTTAATCAAATAAAAAGACTACAGGGATAAAAGTCATGCACACGTTTAGAAATTAATTAATTGTAAAAGCGAACAACAGCCTCATCTGACATTTAGACATACGAGAATAGAGAATAGAAATCTTGAATAAACATATATGTTGATTTGAACAAATCCTTCAAAAAATTATAACTTCAAAATGTCGACTTAACACAGAAGTCAACGTGGCGAAGTCATCTGACTTATAAAAATGCTGTACCCAGTTACAAAATTACCAGAATTATTTGTGTTTGATAAAGAAAATCTTACCACAAAAAATGGGGCAAGATACAAACAAGGATAATCAAAGCAGTAATTGAAAGTAAATAACCAGGTGGCCAACAAAATATTGAGATATAATTATTATGTGCGTTTTTCTTGTAATAAATATATAGTTGTCAATTTGATGATCTTTTTTAGTCCTACAATAATAACATTGTGTGCAATTAATTTTTAAACTTGGTGTAATTTGTTATATTTATATTTATATATATATATATATATTATTTTATTTTTAAAAAAAATAGAAAGGAATCATAAAAATGTGATTTCAAATCTAAATTATTAAAAAACTCTTTTCTTGTTTGTGTAAAAGGAAACGAATATGATAATGATTAATCCCTCGTGATTCGATTTGCGTAATCGATTAATTTTTCGATCATAACGATAAAGTGGAAATAAATTTTTTTGCCAAGATGCGAAACTATTAATATCTACTACTACTGCGCGAATTAACTAGTCAAAAAATATATTAAAATAGAAAAATTAAAATTAAAATTAAAAAAATTAAAAAAAGTCGATAATGAAAACGATTAATCGAATTAATAAACAAATAAACAAATAAAGCATAACAAAGAAAAAAACAAACAAACAAAAATAAACAAACAAAACAATAAACAAACGAATAATAAATTTTAAAAACATTTTTTTAAATTTTTTTTAAATAATAAATAAATTAAAATAAAAAAAGCAACCGCCAATTTGTCCAAGAATTTTGATTCGCCACGATTTTCGAAAGATAAGTTATATCGTAGCTCTTAAGATATTTTTTGTTCTTCTTGCTATATCTTTAAACCTTGCTTTTACTGCTCGGCCTGATCGACGATATGACAGAGTAGAAGCACGGTTTATGATGTTATCGTTTTGTTCGCTAACACATAATTATAATACAATGAACAATGGTCCATTTTTATGTGATCAGTGTACTATGAGACAATTGATATCATTCATTTTCAATTCCTTCCTAAAAATGATGAACAACATGTTGTCATATATCTGTAAAACAGCAATAAAATAACCTCCTGTATTGTTATCAAATGATAATAAAACTATAAATCACCTAAGATGTCTAATTTAAACAACCCTCTCCATTAAGATAACCCGTGTAAAGTAAATAATAGTTTTAAATATTTATTTATAATTA